TTTGACTTCTTATGGTAAGATAGGTATATGTAAAATGCCGGTACGTTTAGTGTTAAAGATAAACTTAAAAAATTAATTTAAGACTTTTGCACGGTATTACATGTTAATTTTTTGCGCAATTTTATGTTCAATAATTGGATCGTTCAAAATCAATCTAGTATCATTTCTCGTTAGAAAAAACATATAATAAATACGCGAATATGCTCAAGATACAATACTGATGAATCCAAAGAGGATTGATACTTCATTTACTCTTATATATTCGTTTTTACTTGTTTGTTGTATTCTACAATCGGAGTAATACGCTACTGCGACTCGTTAATGAGACTCTAAGTATTCCGTCGTATCAGGAAAAACGTGTTTTCTTTTCTTTTTCTACTCAATTTTTTTTTTGTCATCCGTCCTTTCATCCATAAAAAACACAATTTCAACTCGACGATTTCCCTGTCGACGGACTTCATTCTATTCAATGTATCATTCTATACAATTCCTTAAATGGAATTACATTTGGTTTGAATTACAAAAAATACACAGAATGCATACGTATACGTATAAAAACGTGTCGTTTATGCGCCACATAGTTATATTTAGTCTATAGTACTCGTCGATTGTAAACAGACTTCGAAACGCAACGAACTGCAAAAATTAATGAAATAGATCGATGGTGGACTTCTGGTAGAGAAGCTTCGTAGAGAAAATAATGAAAATTATAGATGTCACTTCCTATGTTATTAGAATGTTTGCATGAGACATCGAGACAACCTAACTGTCGAGACATTATTCTGTTTGTAGGTTATTAAAAGAGCATGTTTCACAAATATTACTTCGAAGTCTGATTGCAACGAATAGATTCGGGTCAGATAATTTTATATTGCATTATTAATGACCACCAGATTACACCTAGTTAACTGCTACTATGCTGTTAATACATCACGAACTATAGTGATATTACACGTTAACTAAAAACATAATACAGCTATTACTCCTATGTGTTCTCGGTTTATAACATTCTATGTGCGTTATAACTCGACGCATTCTTTCTACAGCGAAAGCATGATCATGAAACGTAAAAGGTCCAATCTGCTCTGACATATGGAATATTTCTGTGTGTGTGTTCGAACGACAATTAGCTGCCTAATTTCTGGTATACATGGAATTCTATACCTCTGGTGAGTTCTGTGCAGTCGCATTGATATGATCCTGTAAACAAATTCTGAGATCCCGCTCGTCCAGCTCGCTTTCAGTGTCAACACTGAAACTTCTTACATTTTGCCCACCATGGCCTGTCCAACGTTGCTTCCAACTTTCTAGCCTCATGACCTGTGACACACATTTCATATGCAGTAATATTGTTAAACTCCATAATTTGAGAGATTATGAAATGTTTGTAAAATTCTGTAATACTTTATACATCATCACTTTGCAAATGTACTTCTTTTTTTACAAATATTTCATTTGACATAATTCAATTACTTTTTTATTTTGTTGGGTAAATGTGTTATTCCGTTGAAAATAATTTTTAAGACAGTTTTATGAAATGATTATCTCTGAGTACTATTTTTTCAGAGAATTGTACAATTTTTATGTAATGTATATAATGTCTATGAAATGTATATAATGTCTATGAATTCCTATTCAAATTCTTCTAATCTATGCTTCTATTCTGATGTTTGATCTTTTAAATTTTCTAAAGTCTTTAACTCCATTTTTCAAGATAAAGAAAGTTGCCTAAAATCAGACGATATGTTTTAAAAGTTGCAATAAATAAATATAAATAGTTTCAAATAAAATTAATCAAATATGATTATCATGCGCTTTAATTTTATACTTTTGATAATTCGTTTAAAAAGTGCAATAAAAGAAAAATAATAAATAGTTATTGAATAGTTATTTTTAATGAAAATAATTTTATTTGATTGTACACGTTTCAATTATTAAATGATCCTTGATATGCATTTCTCCTATCATAATATACAATAACTTACTGATAGCATCGAGTTTAGATTTTATAGAAAGCAGGGCTGAAAATTATAATGGGTAACATGCATTACTTAATACATTGATTAAACAACATATTAAATAAAGATATTAGTAAGATTGCCCATGAATGTTCTTAAAGCATTTCATAAATATTCTTGCCACTTCTTTCTACAACAAAAAACCCTATTATTAATAAATAAAGAAAATGGAAATGAAGCATATAGATAGTGATTATAATGTGCAAATTGCAAAGCATATACCAAACAGTCAATGAATCAAATTAGTGCTTTGTTACATATATAATGATAAATAAGCACAAGAAAACAATGTGATGGTGGAATTAAATGTACATATATGTGTTAAAAAGGAATCCAAGGCGACATTGAAGGATAAAGACATCTGTCATTTTAATGCTTTTCTGAATCACTTCATGTAAATTAAGATGAATTGTCCTGTAATTTAATATCTAATTTAATATCTAATTAAATTATCTCAAAAAATATATATACAAAATTATATAGAAAGGAAATATAGACTTTTGATCAACAGTACACGTTGATATCATGCTACATACATGAAATGGAAAAAATAATGCTTACGGATGGGTAAAGACTTACTCGAGCCAGCGCCAAGGCTCAGTCTCCGGGCTGGTGATTGGCGTAGGGAACTAAGGAGACAGAGATAACACAGCAATAGAGGGTTAGTTTTACAAGGCTATTAGTTTTTTCGTGTTAGTGTTTGGTACCTTTACACAATGAGAATTCTATTCATAATATATCTTTCTATATGAGTAGATAAATGTTTGATAATTTTTTTTTTTAAATATCAAATATTAAAATATATTTTTACTGAATATTAAAAGATATAAAAGTAAAAAAATGATATCTTTGAAGGTGTATTTTTTAGATCATACTTTTTTGTATTTTCTTTTCAATTAAAATTATCTGTAGAACTATAACCAATTCTTACTCCGTGCTGTGCTAGCTCTCAATGTCTAATACAATGTCCTTAAAGCACAATTAATACTGTAAATGGCAAGCTTGATTTATAATAAAATGATTTTATAGTATGTGTCTACATAAAACGCTTTAAATATTAATGCTAAAACATTGAAAATTTGATGCTTATTTTAATGTTGTAAAAATATTTACAATATGTTTAAAATCTTGTAATTAATTAATTGCAAATTTTCAATGTAATCAAAACATAAATATTTAATTCGGAAAGACACCTTTTTATATTATGATGCCCTCAAAGATATAAATTTCAGTTTAAATACAATGATGATTAATTTACTCTCATAAGTGCAAAAAATAACATTAAATGAAGGAATATTGTATTATATTAAGTTTAGAAGCGATTCGACATTGATTATTTAGATTTTACATTGCAGCAGAGACATAACAAGCTGTGAATGCACCTCGAAGCTTTTACATGTAAGGAATTTCTTCAAATGACTTAGAAAATTCACACAAAATTA